TTGTGGACTGGTGTTGGGTTAATGGGTTAATGTTGGACTTGTGGGCTTGGGCAGCATTGGGTTGGGATGTTTTCGTGATGCACATTTTCTTAACATAAAACTCTCTCTTATACATAAGTTGCTGTGGATTTGTTTCTCCAAAGTACCTAGACTAATACATATTCCCACTTCAGAAACCCAAAGGGGCAATTCTACCTTGTCCTGTAGGATCACTATGAGGCACCATCAACTCGATGGCAGTGAGTTTGGTGTGGGTTTTGTGTACTGAGGGGGCACTGGGGTAAGGCACCCATAGGAAGCACGGACCCTTCCACAGTGTGGCAGAGGGACCACCACAGATGTCCTCCCGGATGCCAAGTGCAGCCTGGCTGAGACCCAGAAGGTCCCCCATCGGTGTGAAAGAAGGCCTTCTTGTGCAAACATTCGCCTGTGTCCCTGTCAACAAACACTTTTAAGCTGGGCTTTTAGCCAAGCTACGGTTGGCAAGAATCTAATGTCTTCGAATTATTTGCCAGTTAAGTAGGATGTTAAGAGCTATGATGGCACCGCTGTTAAGCAATTGGTTCCTAAACAAAAGGTTAGATTGGTGGTTGGACATACACGCCCCCTCCCGCGCCCCCAGGGCTGGGTGGCACAAAGACCTGGAGATCTGATCCTGCAAGATTACAGCCAAGAAACCCTGCGCAGTCGCCTGGGTTGCTATGGGTCAACACTCAACAAGTCGGAATGTGCCTCAAATAAGTTAAGAAGGGAAAGGCACAGTACAGGCTTGGAAACAAGCTATCTTCCTGAGCCCTTCCATAGGAGCTCCTAGTCGCAGGAGTCTCTCTCTCTCTCTCTCTCTCTCCCACTCCCTCTCTCCATCTCTCTCTCTCTCTCTTATTTTTATGTAAGAAAAAATAGGGGTGTAATCCCCCAATTTAAAAATATGGAAATGCTATAATTCAACGTGAAAAGAATTAAAACAAAACAAACACCAGATGGCAGAAACCCACACCGCCCCAGACCGTCTCATCCAATCAGCTGAAGGCTTGGGCTTCTACTCATTCCAGAAGCACCCAGGTGTACCTGGACTAAGGATGAGGCAGACCACTCAACCAGGGTCCCTGCTGTGCACCGGCAAACCTCAGGAGCCAGTTCAGCTGGTCCTGGTGGGGCAAGGCCAAGGCCTCTCGCTCCTTGATTAAGTGCCACAGACCGTCACAGCCTTCAAGGTCGTTTAAACAGAAAGCATTTAATGCAAGCTATAAATGATCAGGAAAGAGACTTTTAGCTCCTGCTTAAATACCGCTGGCAGAGAATGCAGACACCTCCCACGACTCTCACAAAGCCCAGGGGATGGATTGATCTGGGGAAACCCCCAGAGAAGTCCTGCTTGTTGACACACACCAGGGGGAGGGGCGGCGAGCCGGGGCGCAGCCTTCTGGTGGAACTGTGTCCATCTCCATTGCTTGAAGCCTTTCACCCAGACCCGACGACACAGCCAAACCACACCCGCGACCAGCCTTGCACGAGCCTCTCTTTGGAGCTCCTGTTTGCGCCCGGTTTCTCTGGGGACCCGGCATTTCCTCCCGGGGTCAAGGTTCTGAAACCCTGAGGCCTCCGTGGGGAATAGGACCTGCCAGCGGCTCAGCCTGGAGCGCAGATTCACTGTTGGTGCCCAGCGCGCAGAGAGCCCTGGCCCTTGCCACCTCGCCCCACTGGGCTGTGCGGCACCTAGCACGCTGGGCAGACAGCAGGGACATCGGACACCATTCCTCACCCTGGCGGCAACCTCTGGGGCCAGAACCTTGGCGCCAAAGAGATGGAGGCTCTTGGAGACGTTTCCAGGGTCAGACCTGCCCCAGAGACCCTGCATCAGTGCCCTTTACTGTTGGCAGCACTCTTTTAAGATCGTGGACCATTGCCCAGAATAAAGTTCTCCGCTCCAGCCTTACGCAAGGCGGGAACCTGTGTGACAATTCGGGCGCTCGGTACCCCAAAAACATCCACCCAACGCTCCCAGGAAGTCACAAGTCCCCAAAAGGCAGCGTTGGCCTTGAGTTTCCTGGATCCCACTGCCCTTCCTCCTGTCCTTTCCTCACGCACCTCCCTCGCTAAGGCTGTGGGACCCTGGGCAGGTTCCATTCCTCTGTGCCTCAGTTTCCCCCTCGGTGTAAGGAGGGTGGTTGTGCAGAAGTCCATAGGGTGCGATGGGTCCCTAGACCCAGGACCCCGGAGCTCTGTCGGGCTGGCTGACCCGCCATTTCATTCAGCTCTCAGTAAAGAGTGCCAGTCTCTTCTAATCAGTCAGTTTTGGGGGTCCCCCAGACAGCCCTTTGGGGACATTTACTGGACCTACGTTGCAGTATGATTTAAACAGTAAAACTAAGTGCAGAACACAGGGTAACAAGTGTGTGTGTGTGTGTGTGTGTGCAGAACACAGGGTAACAAGTGTGTGTGTGCAGAACACAGGGTAACAAGTGTGGGGTGTGTGTGTGCAGAACACAGGGTAACAAGTGTGGTTTGTGTGTGTGTGCGCGCGCGGAACACAGGGTAACAAGTGTGTGTGTGTGTGCAGAACACAGGGTAATAAGTGTGGGGGTGTGTGTGTGTGTGCAGAACACAGGGTAACAAGTGTGTGGTGTGGGGGGTGTGTGTGCAGAACACAGGGTAACAAGTGTGTGGTGTGGGGTGTGTGTGTGTGTGCAGAACACAGGGTAAAATGTGTGTGTGTGTGTGATCATTACCCGCGTCCCCTCCCCGCCGCCCAGCTCTCAGGTCGGTGGGTCCCTCCTTGCCTCCACCCCATCCACCGCCCGGACCGTCCAGCGCTCAGGGCCCGCACTCACCCTCTCGGCGCCGGCCCCGGCGGCCGGGAGCCGCTGCGGGACGACGTGGAAGAAGACGCAGAGCGGCAGCGCGGCGAGCGCCGAGTAGCCCCAGAGGCCGGCGAGCAGGGCGGCCCGCGCGCGCACCCCGGGGCCCCGCCGGCCGCGCCGCAGGCGCACGATGCAGACCACGCGCTCCAGGCTGACGGCGGCCAGCGAGAGGATGGTGACGCTGCCGCTCAGGCTCATCACGTAGAAGAGCAGGTGGCAGGCGGCAGGTCCCAGCAGCCAGGCCTCGGTCCAGCGCACGGCCAGCACGGGCGGGATGGCGCTGGTGAAGAGCAGGTCGGCGCAGAAGAGGTTGAGCACGAAGCAGGTGGCGGTGCCCCGGCGCCGGCGCCGCGCCAGCAGCACCAGGGCGCCCACGTTGCCCAGCAGCGACACCACAAAGATGAGCGCTAGCACGACCGTCTCCACGGTGCTCAGCACCAGCCGGTGGTCGCCCTTGACGTCGGAGAAGAAGGGGAAGCGGGTCCAGTTGACCAGCTCCAGGTGGCGCGGGCGGCCAGGGCCGGGGGCCTGCGTGCACTCGGGGGCCATGCGGGGCGCCCGTCGGCCCGCAGCCGTCTGTCTGCCAGCGCGCTCATGCGGGAGCGACTGAGCGCCAAGGCGGGGACAGAGGGAGGGAGGCGGTTGTGACATCTCCCCGCTAGCCACATCCCTGCCGCGGCCTCGGGAGCGCCAGGGCGCGCGGGAACGAGGAAGTGCCTGGCGAGGCCAGCTGGAAGCACCCTGGCTGGGCGGGGGCGGGGACGCGGAGGCGGAGGCGTCTGGCCTCGAGCCGGGCCTTGGGAGTTCTCGAGGGGCTCAGAAACCCCACCGAGAGCCCACCCTCCTCAACCATCTGGGGGACATTGGATGGGATGTGCAAAGTCTATAAGACACCAATTCAGCCAAAATCGATTTGGCAGGGTGAGCGCTGGACTTGGAAGGAGATGTAAGCTAGTCAGAGGTCCCCAAAGAGCGCCTAGGGGGTCGGAGGATAGTTGATCCCAAAGTGATTTGCAACCAGCTCGGTTTGATCTAATCTTTTGTTTTAGCATTAATTACAGTGTGATGTTAGATGTCTTATCTATTCCCCATATGTGCCAGTGTTTGTGTTTTCACCTTAAAAAAACCCACAAAACCCAAAAAACTAAAGTTAATACTGACTCATAGTGACTATAGGACAGGGTAGAACTGCCCCCTGTGAATTTTCCTGGCTGTAACCGGTTACCAGAGTAGAAAGCCCTGTTTTTCTTCCGCGGGACTGCTGGTCGTTTCGAACTGCGGATCTTGAGGATGGCAACCCAACGATACTACTACTTCATGAGAGTTATTGTGAGAATCACATAAAAATTTAGTCCAAGACTTGGCACACAGGGATGTCTCATTAACTGTTTCCAGTTACTGGCTACACTAATTAAAATACATGCAAAATTGGCATTCTGAGCAATGATATTAAATGCTTTCTCCCAGTAGAGTTATCCCAAAAATCTTCAATAAACTTGACACCCCAGAAAGACAGCTATGCCTGGGTCCTCAGGGGCTAGCATAGGCTATGGGTGTGTGTCAGGCATAGCACCAGTTTGGACCCTGTTACAGATGAGGAACTTAGACCCAGCATGAAGTAACGTGTTGAATGTGGTCCTCGGTTAGAATAGAAACCAGGTCCCCTGCCCTTGCCTCACACTCTTCCATCACACGAATCACTTCTAGTTTTCTACAACTGCGAATTAGGAAGTCAGAGACTGGGAAGTATGCTTGTGGCCCAAGCCCCACTGACCATTTTCCTGGCCAGCCACCTTGCCATCCCCCCACCCCACCCCCTCTTCCCTTGACTATACTGCAGGGCCTCTCCCCATTGTCCCCTCCTCTTGAACTGCCTCTGCATAGTTATTAAGGGCTGGGTGCCCCAGTCAGGGTGCTGTCTGGGGAGAGGGGTGCGTGTGTGTCCTGTGAAGGTGAGTTGACAGGCTGGCTTCTGGCCTGTGTGGGGAGAGAGGAGATATGTGCCAGCAGAAGACACGCAGGGAGGTTGGGTGGGTTCAACCTGAAAAAACAAAACCAAAAAAACAGAACTTTCGTGACCGAGAAGAAAAGGGCAAGAGATTGAATAACGGGAACTCAGACATGGAGAATTTTAGCAACTGTCTGATTGAGATCAGGGGGCATTCATTTTTATGTGAGGAAAAGGTGAGCTCAGTGAGTGAGAGAGAGAGAGAGAGAGAGAGAGAGAGAGAGAGAGAGAGATTGATGCCATGATGCCAGGCTGATAGAGGGCACAGGAAAAAGTTTCTCCAGAGGGGGCCAGGGTGGGGATTTCTGGGCTGGCAGTTTTTCTCCATCAGGACCCTCCAGGGTCCCTGCAGGGAAAAGCACGGAGTGCAGTGCTGCGCATACACTCAGGCCACACCCCTTTGTGGCCCAAAGAAATCCCTAATCCTTACAGCGATGGAGTAGCTAGCGGAGTTCAACCCGATTAGTGAGGCTCTGTGTCCTGACAACTTAGAGGCCATCTGGCAAAGCAATATACGCACATTGATAAAAGTAGATCCCCCCCAACCCGTTTTTCACATAAATAGCCACAATTACTTCCCAGTGGGATGCAGGCTCCTGTTGAGCTCTCCTGGCTTTTTAAAAACCAGGAATTCCATTGGACCCTGCTATCCTCACTTCCTGTTCTCAGCTGCTCTGTCTGCAGTTACTGCTTTTCCTCAAGGCAACCTGTGGAAGGCCAGCTGGGGGAAGATGTGATGTCATGGGCCTAACGTTGAAACAGTGAGTGACCGTGAGCCAGCGGTTCTCACCAAGGCTAACCTCTGCGCTTCTCTGGGGTTCTGAAGGCACACCAACTCCAGTGATTGAGAATGTGGGCCTGGCTCCTCAACTTGCTGTGTGACCCCGGGCAAGTTGGTGTAGCTTCTTCCTGTAAAGGAAGAGGGGGTGATGCTAGTACAGAGCCTGTAAAGCTGAGGGGATTCGTTGAAGTTCATGTAGGTGAAGCACTTAAAACAATAGCTGTAAGCAGACACTGGACCGGGCTCTGCGAGTGCACTGACCACGCCTCCTGGTTGCTGAGACCGTCCATCAGATGATGAGGACAGTACCGCTCATGCTCCAGTTTGCCCTGGTTTGGCGGAGAAAGTACATGGTCAGCCAACCTTCACATTCATTAGCTCCTTCTACTCACAGGCAGCTGGCATGTGGTTGGGGCTTGAATTCCGGCAGTTTGATTCCAGAATCCATCTCTTTAGCCACTAGATGAGTGGTTCTCAGCCAGGGGAGGCACGGTGCACCACACTAAGGGCACTAGGCAATGTCTGGAGATGTTTTGGTTGTCACCCCCAGGAGAACAGATGGCTACTGCCTCTAATGGGTAGAGACCAGGGGGGCAGCTAAACGTCCCAGAATGCACAGGATAATCTCCCTGAAACAAAGACTTATCCGGCACAAAATGTCAGTAGTGCAGAGCTTGAGAGGCCAGGCACTCGAGTAGATGACCTCCTGAGACCTTTACCTCTTACTGTAGGAGCCTTGATGGCATAGTGGTTACTCATTGGGCTTAACCACAGGGCCAGCCATTTGAGCTGGTAACTGCAGTTTGAAGCCACCATGGGCTCCGAGGGAGAGAGATGAGACTTTCTGTTCCTATAAAGAGTTGCAGGGTTGGAAACCCACAGGGGCAGTTCTACTCAGTTCTAGAAGGTCGCTCTGAGTCGGAATTAGCTCCATGGTAGTGAGTTTGGGGTTCTGGTTGACCCCTGGGTGGAGTTACACCTATCGGTAAAAGCTAGGGTCATGATCATTTTCCTTATAGGGTTGGTTTTGGGTTTTGTTTTTACCACCTCCTCAATAACCCCCTTGGCAAGGTCCAGCCTTGTGCCCTGGCCCCAGATGGGACAACTGTGGAGTCATCAGGGTGGACCGACAGCACGTGATGGCAGGAGAGTCTGGGCTGAGCCCGGCTTGTGTGTATCCTATTTCTTGCTCTTGGTCATTAATAGCCATTATTATCATGCTTCTTTGCCTTGTTCACTCATAGATAAAATGGTAGAAATGGAGACAAGGACCCGCCAAGTGTAAATACGGACTGACTAGTTTCTGAGCGAAGGTCTGCCGAAGAGGATGGCTCCTGGTCGCTGTTTATTTTCTATTTTTTCCACTGAAGAGAAGGTGGGGTGGTTGTACAGGGGCCATTTCGGGGGTATAAGTTTTCTTATTTTTCCTCTGGGGATGGGGGTGGAGACTTGACAAAGTTTGTATTAAAATGCATACTGACCTATTGCTTCTTCTCCTTTCTGTGAAAGTTCCTTCAGTGGAAAGTAAGGAACTTCTGTAAGAAGTTCCTCTGTCTGTCTGTCTCTCTGTCTATCAGTTTTGAGCAAGAAGTCTTAGCAGGGAGCAGCATCTCTCCTTGAACATTCAGGATTTTGTAGAGCAGGATGTCAAGGGCACTTATCATGGAGTGAAGATTTCCAATCCCCCAGTGCTTCTGTATCCCTGCCTCTCCCCTTCTTGTCTCGGGCGGTCCTCACCAGTCCCAGTTGCCCTGAGTGTCCCCAACCGAGTAACCACCCCAACCAGACCAGGGCAGGGCAAAGCGGAGGGCCAGCTTGTTCTCTGAGAATGACTCACCATGGCCCTTCTTCAAGGAGGCAAAATGTTCACAGACACACAGGCATAGAAAGGTTTTCCAGGCTAAGGGAACGGCCCATGCTGGAGCAGAGAAGCAGGAAAGGGTATGACCTGCCTGGGAAAAGGCCATTGCTTTTGTGCATGCCTATGAAGATCTCTGCTGTTGGTAGCCCTGGTGGCATAGTGGGTTACATGCTGGGCTGCTAACTCTAAGGACAGCAGTTCGAAACCACCATCCTCTCTGTGAAGATTTATCATCTCGGAAACCCAAGAGGCAGTTCTACCCTGTCCTTTAGGGTCCCTATGAATTGGAAGCAACTGGATGTTTGTTTGTTTGTTTGTGTCCTCACCACATCTTCCAGCAAAAAGAAGGATCATGGAGAAGCTGGAAAATGAAAAGTGTGAACCCCACAGGACAGCGATCAGGAACTTATTTGTGAGTCAGTCACATACTGAGGGAGGACCACAGTGGAGTCTCTGGGTGTTATACCCCGTGAACAAGCTCAGCTACTAACCAAAAGATTGGAGCTTCGAGTCCAGTCAGAGGTACCTCGGAAGGTGAAAATCTTGTGGAGCATGATTCTGCTGGGACACACAGGCCTCACTATGAGTTGGAATCGGCTTGCTGACAACTGGTTAGGGGGCCAGGGTAGAGGACTGACAACACTGACATTAAACGATATCTGGTGGCCGCGCACAGTGACGCACACAGGTGTTACAGATATTTTTAAAATGTTTAAGTGGCCTCTCTGAAAAAATCAGTTAGAAAATGACACCCTTTCTTCAGCCCCACATGCTATCCCTCACATGACCATCCTTTGCCAGACCCAGGCTGTACACAGAGCCACTAAGGGCCTGCCGAGGGATGGGAGGGGGTGGGGAGCAGGGGCTCTTCTTACTGGTTCTTCCTGTCCACTTTTTAG